TGAAGCATATGGAACCATGTTCATTCGATCGATCTCATATCGGTTCCTAGAACACTGAAAGTTCTCTTATCTATTACCCTTGACTATAGGAGCAGGCGTATGTTTACTCGCATGCATACTTTACTTCTTTAGAATCTTTTTTAAGTATGCATTTATGATAGTCCTAATACCCTATTTTATTTTATCTCGGTGAATTTTGATTCCTAGAACCAATGACACTTCACCAAGATCATTCACATTGAAACTTAGGGACAAAACATATTCTTCTCCAATGACAGATTAACATCACTACTAAGGAGTAGAATGTCATCTATTCAAAGGATATGGAAAATGGATTTTTCATTCTTGATCCTCGCATAAACGCTATCGTCCTTCTCATTTTCTTTAAAACCCAAACTTTCTTATTGTTTTCATCAACTTTAATACTAATGTCTAGATACATACATTTAATCCATAAATAGATTTCTACAGGCGGCATCCCATATGTTCTTTTCTTCTACGACAAAACATTTTGGGTTGTGCCACGTAATCATTTTCATATAAATCCCCGTTGAGGAATACCGTCTTTACATCCATCTGATGTAACTCTAAATCGTAATGTACCATAAACACCATTATGATTCTAAAAGAATCCTTACATAAGACTTGAGAGAAAACTCTAATTGTAATCTATTCATTCTCTTTGCGTAAAGCATATTGCCACAAGTCGTGTTTTTTATCTTTCTACATTCCCTTTGGAGCCGCATTTTGTCTTGTAGACCCATTAATAGCCTATTGTTTTGGCTTCATTAGGAATTACTTCTAAGTCCCAAATATCGTTGGTATTTATCGAATTTATTTCAACTTTCATAGCTTCTTGCCATTTGAACGAGTAAACGCTTCTCATGGCTTCTTCAAATGAGGTGGGATCATCCTTCATTTGAATTTTTTTACTAACATATACTTCATAGTCATCAGAAAAACTGGTTTCCTAATTCTTTGAGACCTTCTGGGGCCTCATCTACTGGTATTTTCATATGGGGCTGTTGTTGCTCTTCATTCCTAAGAGGCAATTGATTATACAGGCTTCTGTATGACAAGATCCTTGTTTACATTATTCATCTTCTTCGAAAAGCTAACAACATGTGTTGTATAAGTCATACAACATCAACAGGTATTGAGAGATTCGTTGTTTTTGAATCACTGAAGTGGACGTGCAGTCCCGCTTCTCTCAAGTCTTAGGTCTCTACATACCTCTGCATACCATGCTCCCCCAAATCTTTCCATCTTTTCTAAAGATAGTGTATCTTCAAATAGCTTATTTTGGGTTTAATTCGTTAAACTCTCATATGGCGCTTTAAACACCACCTTAACATCTTTGAGACTGACTATGCTATTTTTCTGTCAGAACTTTTAAAAGGTCCAGCAATTTCGCTATCTCTCTGCTTAGGAGTATCATTGTTGTAACCAATGTACTCCTCCAACGGTCTTTATCTCACTCTTAATCAAGAGTATCTTTCTTAATTGATCTTAATCTTATTCTTAATGAAGAGTATTTTTTAATTGATCTTAATATTCTTCCCCTTGAAATATGGCATGAACTTTACTATCATAATTTTGATAACTATTCAGAAAGCCTATAAACGAGGAGACACTTATAACTTACTTCATTCACATGATTGTGTCATGTAAACAAAGTTATTTCTTAATCCGTTTAGAAGTACACTTTTCTTAATTCACTTTAAGAACTCAACGAGGTCTTTCATTAGCGGTACTTTTGTAAGTCACACTTTCATCTTTTCTTATCTTTTGGTTAGTTTTGACCATGACTATGCATTTCTATTGTGACAAGGTCAATACTAGGACAGCATAAGAGCTACCCAAACATCTCTCGCTATGCGAGATACAAAACATGTGAATCACCACAAAACTTTTTCCACCATGCTAGATGGACTAGCATAATTACTATGCCTAAACGTTTCCCCATGCAGGATACATTTATACAAAAACTTAGTCATGACGACTAAAACTTTCACTTATACTTCATTTTCCTGTTAAATCTTCCCGAACAAAAAATTGTCCTGAACTGGCTTGACTCAAGCCTTTTCATTCACACACCCTAGCATTACAGCCTATTGGCATGCAGCCAAGTGATCTTGTCAGTTAAAAAAATAAAAAAAATCAATTCTACATCACCGTTGGCAAAAAATAGAATTGATGCATTAAAACCCATAAATTGACTTAAAATCCATATAACTACTCTTCAAAATTAAAGTCTCCCTTTGGTTCGAATTTAATTAGAAGATAATCAACTTCATCGCAGCAGAAACTTAATAATGAAATACATTCTTTTAGTTCAGGAGCATTTCTTGGTCCATATCAACTCTCTAAAAAATTCACCACGTCGGTGTAAAATTTTCTAGAGATTTAAACTTTAAACTTAAATTCGTTATAATATTGTCATTATCAACGTTGTCAGAAAATGACAATACCATAATCTTACTTAAACAAAAAATTAGATTACTCCTCTAATTAAATTTTCCCGTTGATTCCAATTTAATTAGAGGATCAACATAATCATAATTTTCTAAATATAACTGCTCTTCAAATTAAATTCTTCCATTGGTTCGAATTTAATTGGAAGATAATAAACATTAAACTTTGCAGCGAAAATATGAAAAATTTCTTTATCTACTTTTCAGAAGCATTTCACTTTACTCATCTACTCTCTGAAAAATTTATCCCGTTGGTTCAAATTTTGACAAAGATTTAACATCAAAACTTGATTAAAATTCTTCAAAAAAATGTTTCTAAAAATAATAAAGCAAAACGAAGAAACGTCACCGTGCCTTTTGGGCAAAAAACGCATTCGTGCTCTGCGTGCCGTCACGGCCTAGCGCGAAAACCCCAGCCCAGCAGCCACGTGCGCCGCGCTGTCCCCGCGCCTAGGGCACAACATGGGCTTGGGCTGGGAATTCAGCCCACACATGCGCGCCCCGCCCCGCTCCGCCTAGGTAGTATGTTGGCCCGGTCATCGTCGCCCGTTCGTTTCGATCGAACGGTCGAGCGCGCCGATAGGGAGAACAAAACCTTGCCCCCGCCTAGCCTGCCTCCCCAAACCCTAGAATCAGTCATTCTTCCCCTTTTGATTCTCTCTCACCGAGCGACGACAGCGGCGGCGGCCACGGTGGCCGTCGGCGTCGGTGAGGAGAAACTCCGCCGGAGCAGATCCGGTAGCTCTCCTCGACTTTTTTCTCGCTCCCCTTCTCTTCTGTCCTAAGAGCGCCCCGACGGAACGACGGTGGAGCAGCGGCCGCCCGCGGCGACCGAAGGAGATGGTGGCGCCGTCGCGCGTCCCATCGCCGGTGCGCACGTTTAGCCGAGAGTGAGCGCGCCGCCGTCGAAGGGTTGTGCTACGGTGCCCTTAACCCTGAAGCCCGAGGCGTAGGTCACGCGGTGGCGTGATCTCCCGGCCAGCGGCTTGGGTGGTTCTTCCCGCTCGACATCGAAACAACGCCGACGGTGGTGACAATGGCAGGTGAGCCCTAGGTAGGCCCCTGTCCCGTCCGTCCTTGCTTCTCTCTAGGGTTAGGTCTTAGGGTTCGGCCAAACCCTAACAGGCCAAATCCGAACCCACGGTTCATCTTCTTTTTGAAATCGTTCTTGTTTTCTACCCTAATACGCGATCTACACACTAGATGGCCCAGCTCTGGTACCATTGATAGGATCATTGTACCTCTAGAATCGTAGATCAGGAGATAAAATGCTCTTAGATGGGGAACTGTTGATGTACCTCGCCCTAGGGCAATTGCGGCCATGGTGCCGCAATGACGTAGCCTCTGTTGTCATAGCAGTGTAGACGCAGTGGTGGTGATGCAGAGGCGACGGTGAAGTCGGTGGGGCTTCCCGTCGCTGGTAGCACCTTCTCTCTAGATCGGTTCGCATTAGGGAATAGTCGGTGGGGCACCTGGTAGCTCAGGGGAACCTCGTAGCTAGAGCCACTGCCCCCACCTCCCTTTATAGTGCTGTGCGACGGAGGCCCACCAACCATAGAGCGGTTGGACGCCCCCGATCAGAGCGCTGATCTAAAGCCCAATTGGCCGGTGGAGATCAAACTAACACCCCACTCCCAAGACAAAACTTCATTTTGATTGGGGTGGCAAGTAGCTGACGCTATTCACGAGCCCCTCGAACGCGGTGCCGCCGGGGCCCATGAACACGAGCTCCTAGCTCGTGAGCACGAAGACGTCCCAACTGATGATGGAGCCAAATCCGAGGCAGCCGACGAGGGCCTGGTCGAAGATCCGCGCCGGGTTCATCCCTGCGCCATCGAAGGGCGCCCCCGCCAGCACGTTGATGCCGAGCAAGAGTCCCACGGCGAGCGATGCGATGGTGCCCACATGGCCCCGCATTAGGTCGATCACCATAGAGTAGTAGGCGTAGATGAGGCCTAACGTCAGGACGGCCTCCAGTAGCATCGCGTGTCAGTCGCCGACCCCAGATGCGAGCGTGAACCCTGGCGGGCGGGCTCCCCCCTTGGCCATGTTGGTGTAATCCTGGTCACACTGATTGGCAACACCTAGAGCAGCGACGTGGCATGGAGCAGTTGGTCAAGCAAGGCACCAAGACTCAGTTTGAATCAAGGTGCAGCGGGAGGCTAGCGGTGACCGCGCCCATGACACTACAGTTATCTGCATAGTGTATTTTTAGTCATGTTCAGAGTGTGTTTAAGTAGTTGTTGCTTTTGTAATCGTGTCCATTAGCTACAGTATAAGTAGCTGGGTCATTGAGGTGTCGAGTTATGCATTGTAAAAAGCCGGTTAGGTTCAGTGTGTTGAAAACCATTAAAAGCGAAAAGGGGCGCTGTCACCCTGGCGCCATCGTGGCGGTTGCCCATCTGTTCTTCATGTTCATCGATTTCTTTCATTCGATCCAACCACATACAGTGCGTGATTGAGATCCGAGACTATCATCTGGTATCAGAGCCTTGATCATGCGCGGAGACACTCCAGATTAGGTCCATGTCGATCGTCGCCAGCGGCAGTGGCGGCGGGGATGGGGCGCGAGGCGGCGGGGAAGCGTGCCAGGTTTACCCAACCCTGATGAGCTCGAATTACACCAGTTGGTGCATTCGAGTTCAGGCGATCATGGAGGATCGGGAGGAGTGGGAGGTGGTTGAGCTAGATCCGGAAGCTATGGCGCCGACCGCGGCGGAGAAGGTGAAGCTGGACGTGAAGGATCGGAAGGTGAAGGCGCACCTTCTTCAGTGCATTCCCGACGACATCTTGATGCAAGTTGCGAAGAAGAAGTCGAGGAAGGAGGTGTGGGACTCCCTGAAGGCACGTTTCGTCGGTGTGGATCGAGTCAGAGATGCTCGGCTGCAGACTTTGAAGAGCGAATTCGATGCAGTCGAGATGAAGGATGATGATCCACTGGATCAAGTTGTGGGGAGACTGGCGGCACTGTCAGTCAAGAGTAGCAGCTTGGGGGAACATCACCGACGTAGATCTGGTGAAGAAACTGTTTGACATCGTGCCCGATCGGTACCTCACCGTTGTGGCAGGAATCGAATAGTTCTTTGATCTAAAGACTCTTGCATTCGATGAAGCAGTAGGGCGCCTAAAGGCCTTCGAAGAGCGGACGTGGCGGGGCAGCAGTGGTGCTCGTCCAGTGAAAGGCCAAGTCCTCCTGACTCGGGCTGAGTGGGAGGTGAGGCAGAAGCAATCTGATGGTGATTCCTCGGGGAAGGGGAAGAGAGGAGAAAGCAGTTGGCGTGGGCGAGGCCGTGGGCGCAGCGGAGGCAGCAGTGGCCGTGGCGGGGGAGCTGATGCCGGGAAGGATGGCAATGGGAAGCATGATAAGAGTCACATCAAATGCTTCAAATGCCATGCTTATGGGCATTACGCCAATCGATGCCCAGGTGAGAAGAAGAAGGAGGAATCTCACCTTGTCAAGGTGGAGAGGGAGCCTACAGTTCTGTTGGCAGAAACTGTATTGCTGGACTGGCTATAGTGTTCTTCAGAGGACAGGATTCAGAAACTGTTTCTGAATGAAGCCAAAGTACAGCCTGAACTTCATCTAACTGGTGGAGGAGATCCATCAAGCATTGTGTGGTACTTGGACAATGGATCAAGCAACCACATGACTGGTGATCACAAGAAATTCAGAGATCTGAATAGTGCTATTTCTGGCAAGGTAAGATTTGGGGATGGTTCTACAGTAGAAATCGTGGGTAAAGGTATTGTAGTGTTCCAAGGGAAGAAGGGTGATCAATGGGTGTTATCTGATGTTTACTACATTCCAAAGTTAAGAAGCAATTTAATCAGTCTAGGTTAGTTAACTGAGCTAGGACACAGAGTTATGCTTGATGAAAATGTGCTAGAAGTTTCAGAGAAACATCCTGACAGATTGATCATGAGTGTACCTAGGACACAGAATAGACTTTACAAGATTAAGCTTGAAACTATAGAACATAAAAGCTTACTAGCATGCATTGATGATTTGGCTTGGCTCTGGCATGGGAGGTTAGGCCATGTGAATTTTAGATCTTTGAAACAGCTGGTTAGTAAGAAAATGACAGTTGGGGTGCCTGAGATCAGTCATCCTGAACAAGTTTGTAGTGATTGCATTTCAGCAAAACAAACTAGGAGTCCATTTCCTAAGGCCTCACAGTGGCAGTCAACTGAGAAGCTTATGCTGGTTCATGTTGACCTATGTAGGCCTATATCACCAGAGACAGTAGGAGGAAACAAATATTTTATGCTGTTGGTTGATGACCATTCTAGGTGGATGCAAGCTTACGTATTGCAGAGTAAGGATCAAGCTTGTGATGTATTTGTCAAGTATAAAACAAAGGTAGAGAATTTCACTGGGTGCAAGGTGAAAGTTCTTAGATCTGACAGGGGTGGGGAATTTTTGTCAGGTGTCTTGACAAAGGTTTGTGAACAAGCTGGGATCAAAAGGCAGCTCACAGCACCTTACACTCCTCAACAAAATGAAGTGGTGGAGAGGAGGAACAGGTCTGTGATGGAGATGGCTAGGGCTCTGCTCAAGAGCATGAGAATACTAGGAAGATATTAGGGAGAAGCTGTCAGGCAAGCAGTTTACTTGCTGAATAGGTTGCCAACCAAGAAGCTGGGTGACATGACTCCATATGAGGCTTGGACAAGGAGGAAGCCTAGTTTAGGTCATTTGAGAGTGTTTGGGTGTGTTGGTCACACAAAAATATCAACACCCCATCTGAAGAAACTTGATGATAGAAGTAAGCAGTTGGTTTATTTTGGGGTTGAAGAAGGAAGCAAAGCACACATAATGTATGATCCTAAAAACAACAAGATTGTTGTCAGTAGGGATGTTGTTTTGGAAGAAAAGAAAGTGTGGAACTGGGAATCGTCTATGGGCCAAAATGTGTCTAGTGAAGTCATAGTTGAAAATGATTTTGAATATGACTATGTTGACTTTGGTGTCAATGATGCAGTAGCACAGGAAGAAGAGGCAGATGATGCAGCTATCAGTGTTGACAGTGGAGCTGAATTACCACAGTCACCTGCACAGCAAGGAGAACAGATTGTTCAAGAGCCTGTTGATTTCAGTGATGGCATGGTGACACCACAACATAGTGTTGTTCATGGAGACAATTCCACTCCTACTTCAACTGATGATAGTGGTCCCATCAGATTCAGAAACTTAGAGGAAATATATGATGATACCTTAGAAATAGAGTTGATGGATTCTAATGTGGAAGCCTTGTTGGTGGAGACAGGAGAACCAACTGGATATGCAGAAGCTGCTGGTCATCAAGAGTGGATTGAAGCAATGGATAGAGAAATGGAATCCATTGAAAAGAACAGAACATGGGAACTGGTCAAGTTACCTGTGGGAAAGAAATCCATTGGCCTCAAGTGGGTTTATAAGTTGAAAATGAATTCAGATGGTGAGGTGATGAAGTACAAGGCCAGGCTAGTTGCAAAGGGTTATGTGCAGAAGTATGGCATTGACTTTGAGGAGGTGTTTGCTCCTGTTGCCAGACTAGATACAGTTAGAACTGTGCTTGCATTTGCAGCTAACAATGGTTGGAAGATTCATCATCTTGATGTGAAATCTGCATTCTTACATGGAGATCTAGAGGAAGAAGTTTATGTGTCACAGCCTGAAGGGTATGAAGTGAAAGGGAAAGAAAATGAGGTATTCAGGTTGAGCAAAGCTCTCTATGGTCTCAAGCAAGCTCCTAGGGCTTGGAATGTCAAACTTGACAAAAGCCTAAGGAAGTTGAATTTCAGAAGATGTCTAAGTGAACAGGCAGTGTATACTAGGGGTACTGGTGTTGATGCAATCATTTTGGGTGTCTATGTAGATGACCTAATCGTGACTGGAGGAAATCCAGATGAGATCAACCTGTTTAAGAGACAAATGATGAATGAATTTGAAATGATTGATTTGGGGCTGCTAAGCTACTACCTTGGGATTGAGGTGGAGCAGAGGGAAGATTTCATCACTGTGAAACAGAGTGGATATGCTAGAAAGGTGTTGGATCAATTTGGTATGAGTGACTATAACTCAACTAAATTCCCAATGGAACCTGGATGCAAGATTAATGCTGACAAAGGTGGACAACTAGTGGACTCAACAGAGTATAGAAGGATGATTGGGTGCCTAAGATACTTACTACACAGTAGGCCTGATCTGTCCTACTCTATGGGAGTTGCTAGCAGGTTCATGGAAAAACCCACAGTGATGCATGCCAAAGCTGTCAAACAGATCTTGAGATACTTGAAAGGCACAGTGGACTTTGGGCTAGTGTATGTCCAAGGTGGGAGTGCAGACAAGCTCATTGGCTACTCTGATAGTGATCATGGGGTGATACAGTGGAGAGAAGAAGCACTGGAGGAATGTCATTCTATTTGAATGAGAACTTGATCACTTGGTGCTCTCAGAAACAAAAAACAGTGTCACTTTCTTCTTGTGAATCAGAGTTTATGGCAGCCACAGCAGTAGCCAAGCAAGCACTATGGCTTAGAAACCTGATCAGTGAGATTACAAAGCAAGATCCTAAGCCTGTTACTTTATTTGTGGACAACAATTCAGCAATAGCCCTCATGAAAAATCAAGTGTTTCATGGGAGGAGTAAGCACATTGATTTGAAGTATCACTTCATTAGAGAATGTGTTGAAAGAGGGCAGATTGTGGTGAAGAGGGTGGGAACTGAGGAGCAGAAAGCAGATATTCTGACCAAGGCCATGCCTGCTGTGAAGCTGTCAGTCATGAGACATCTGATTGGGATCAGAAACCTCAGTGTGCCTCAGGCTTAGGGGGGAGCTTGTTGGTGTAATCCTGGTCACACTGATTGGGAACACCTGGAGCAGCGACGTGGCATGGAGCAGTTGGTCAAGCAAGGCGCCAAGACTCAGTTTGAATCAAGGTGCAGCGGGAGGCTAGCGGTGACCGCGCCCACAACACTGCAGTTATCTGCATAGTGTATTTTTAGTCATGTTCAGAGTGTGTTTAAGCAGTTGTTGCTTTTGTAATCGTGTGCATTAGCTACGGTATAAGTAGCTGGGTCATTGAGGTGTCGAGTTATGCATTGTAAAAAGCCGGTTAGGTTCAGTGTGTTGAAAACCATTAAAAGCGAAAAAGGGGCGCTATCACCCTGGCGCCATCGTGGCGGTTGCACGTCTGTTCTTCGTGTTCATCGATTTCTTTCATTCGATCCAGCCACATACAGTGCGTGATTGAGATCCGAGACTATCAGGCCAGCCACAGCAGGAGAGTGGCGGCGACGGCTCCCAGCATCCGCGCCACCCAGTAGAAGGCCGCGTGAACGGGGGAGATGCTGCCGCCGATGAGCGCTCCGAAGGTGATGGCTGGGTTCACGTGCCCGCCTGAGATGTTGACGGCCACAGCAACCGCGACGAGGACACCATCGAGTATCTAGTCGGCGGCGGCGGCGTCGTGGAGTGACACTGCAGCGTGGTGAGCAGGTCGCCGAGCGCGGCCTGGACTGCCTCGAGGGGCGTGAGGTCGTGGCTGCAGGAGAAGTTGTCGCCGCTGCCATAGGACCTGGACCACATCCTGAACGCTCAGACAGTGCCGACGAGACGCACAAGCGCAGGGCGGCACAACTCGCACGCAGACCGCGCGTGTGCCTCCATGGCTAGCGCCACCGGCTTCCTCCTCGTCCTCGTCACAGGGCCCGCCGCCAGCACGCCCGCCACCGCCGCCGATGTCATCACGGATGTGTGGACGGACGAGGGGAAGAGAGATTGGTAGAGGGTCTGGAAGCTGATGCGTGCGGTGGAGAGATGTGTCGGGTCTGAGAGCTGTAGGGGGTTCTAGCATACTGATGGCTGGATTTACAAGCTGTGTGGGCGGGGTAAGGCTGTGTTTAGTTCGCGAAATGAAAATTTTTGGATGTCACATCGAATGTTTCGGGGATGTCGGAAGGGGTTTTCGGATACTAATAAAAAAAACTAATTACATAGCTCGTCTGGAAACTGCGAGACGAATTTATTAAGCCTAATTAATCCATCATTAGCGCATGTTAGTTACTATAGCACTTATGGCTAATCATGGACTAATTAGTCTTAAAACATTCGTCTCGCGGTTTTCAACAAAACTGTGCAATTAGTTTTTTCGTTTATATTTAATACTCCATGCATGTGCCGCAAGATTCGATATGATAGTTTGGGGTGAAATTTTTTTTAACTAAACCAGGCCTAAATCATGTTGGGGTGATAGACAAGGAGACGCACAAGGAAAGAGCAGTGGAAGGTTGGAATAGGCGTGGAGAACCAGGAAGATTACCAAGCAGTGATCAACCGGCGACGAAGCGGAGTCTCACCAAACAGCCTATTCGCTCGGTCGTATTCGGCTTATAAGCCATGGCTTATCAGCCAACGAACAATATTTTTCTCTCACATCAAATTAGTCAACAGTACTTTCAGTCATGGCTTATAAGTTCAACAAGCCCAAACGAACAGGGCAAAAGTTGGAACGTTCACCGCTTAGCTTGAAACAGGAGTAGTCAACCACCGGTTGAGCAGAAGCTCACAGGCTCATCCGCCGTCGGCGTTCGTTTGACAGGCCCACCTGTTACTGTCCCCAACTGCAGAGAGACCAACTCCAGAGAATCTCGTTATTGGCGACCAGTTTGCGTGTCGTGAGTCGTCACCATGATCGCTCGTGGTTCGTTCAAAGTTGTAATAAGAGTGATTGGTTCATTTGACTAGACACGTCGACTCCCCGTCGGGTGGTAATAGAGTCTCCAAACGTCCACAAAATGCAATTACAGGTTTCAACCAACGGCCTGTTTAGATGGTGAAAATTTTTACAAAATGCACTATAGCACTTTTCGTTGTTATTTAGCAATTAGTATTCAATCATAGTCTAATTAACCTTAAAAGATTCGTCTCGTAAATTTCGTCTAAACTGTGTAATTAGTTTTATTTTTTATTTATATTTAATGCTTCATGCATATGTCCAAAGATTCGATGTGACGGAAAATCTGAAAAATTTAGCAAAATTTTCTGGAACTAAACTGTAACCAAGTAAAAAAACACTTGATGGTTGGCTACTTGATGGTGTGGGCTGGCGTCGAAGTTGGGCAGTGGGCAGTAGCCGTGACTTGAAAACGCAATGCGAGGCTATTCTTGCCGTTTCCTCCTTCAAAGCTGGAAAGCTCGATTGGAGCATCGTCGAGTGCCGTGTCAGAATGAATTGGTTTGAAAAATACTCCGTCAGGAAACTCAGGACACGGGAGGCGTTGTCACACCTCGGTGTCAACAGTTGCGTCGCAGTTCAGAACTCGTATAGCAGACATGGCAAGTTGGCGACATGGACATGTCTAGTCTTCTGAACATGCATGCCCTTGGGCCTAGTTGAGGATGCTAGATGAACTGGGCCTAATTGAAGAATGAAGATTTCTGTCCCCGACCAGGAAGTCTCGGCTCAATCTCAGGGCCCAGGGCCTCGTTCACTTTGCAAAAAAATGAACCTAATAAATAGTATCACTTTCGTCTTATTTGGCAAATATTGCTCAATCGTGGACCAACTAGGTTCAAAAGATTCATCTCGTGATTTCCAACTAAACTGTGTAATTAGTTATTTTTTTTACCTACATTTAATACTCCATGCAAACGGCTAAAAATTGATGTGATGGAAAAAGAGTGAAAAAACTTGGAATTTGGATGGCATCTAAACAAGGCGCAGCTGTCTTGCTTTCGGATACTGGCCCAATATTTCCTAATGTGAGGAACTATGCCCTTGTTTAGTTCCATCCTAATTTTCAAAAAGTTGCTACAGTACCTGTCACATCGAATGTTTATGGCCCGTGCATGGAGCATTAAATGCAGACGAAAAGAAAAATTAATTGCACAGTTTGGTGGGAAATTGCGAGACGAACGTTTTGAGCCTAATTAGTCCATATTTGAACACTATTTGCCAAATAAAAACGAAGATGCTACAGAAATATGCCCGACATACGTAACCGGGCCAGACGCAATGCCGCCCAAAATCAAGGCTGCACGAGTGTGCCCCTCTCTGCAGTCTGCACGTAGGAGTACAGAACAGAGTGAGGCCCCTACGGGCTGCCCGAAACAGTCTGACTCGGCACGTGGGACGAGCCAGAGCGTAACTACGCTCCGAAGGGAACAAAAGGGTTAGCTACTCGTACGCTGGAAGCTACCGTGGGCCACTGCCATGGATCGATCGGTCACCCATCAAACGGCTAGGAAGAAGCAAAGCCAGTTTTCAAATTTTGAACGCGGAGCGGAGTTGGAGCAGCGGTTGGCTGGGGACCAGGGTCCAGGGAGCGAGCGACCCCACGGCCGGTCGGCCGCCGCGGGCTCCGTCCTCGTTCTCCTCGACGGTGACCACCCACCAGCGTCCCCAACCGCACGCGTACCAGCAAGGCAAACGGAGCGAGCAGATGGTCCGGGTCGAACTGTGGGTCCCGTGCACGGGGACGTGCGGTGCGATCCTTCACATCCGCCTCTTTTGGAAGTGCATTTCTGGGCACCGCCGCCGCCGTGAGCCCCGCGTTGTGCTTTGCGCGCGCTATGCAGCTGGTCTACCGGATGGTCGTCTCGGCGGACCATTCTACACATGTACATACTGTCACTTTGCTATTACTGTGTTTTCCACTTTTCCAGTACGATATGCAACCGTGACAATTTAAAAAAAAAACAGATAAATGCAATCGTGACGCTTTTCAGCGACACGATTTGGGTTCACATGTTTGGATGGGTCCAAGAGTATGAGATTCTAATAAAAAAAAAACCTCCACCTCATCCAAGCAAAGGGAGATAATGGCCTCGTTCGGTTTACCCCATATTCGGGCTTTTTTTTTCAGCCGGAACAATGTTTTTCTCTCACAACAATTCAGCCAGAACAGTGTTTTCAGTCAGTTTCAGCCAAAATTCTGCCATCCGAACGGAACCAATAAGGCGTATTCTCAAAATCGTACAGCCCAAAGTCTTAAAATCTTATGATCCACCTCACATTAGATAATACCAGATACTATAGATATTCAGATGTCACCTTATTATATGTAAAGTAAGTATATGCTGTTTTTGCAAACAATAGTTTTCACCTACCTTTTAGCATGGTGAAAAGGCACAAAAAATGATATCTTGAGATAAATTCAGTAAAGTTTGTTAAATCAGTGTCTAACTGAGGGGATACAGTAATAATAATAGATAAATGGAAACTAACAATCCATTTTCTTGTAGTGACATTTGTTGTAAAACATACAGACTTTATCCTATAAGAAAAGGAGAAGGAGAAATCCTGATCCTAGTCTGTTTGTATGTGGGCTCTTACCAAAACTCTTAGAGCCTAGCATAGCTATATATATATACGTGGGAGCTCTATATTGTAATCACCAATATTCAGAGAAATAAAGAATAGTCTCCTTATCTCTTGTGTCTGTGTATTCTACTTTCATCTGCTATGTTGATCGTGAGAGACGGAGAGGGAAGTGTCCTAACCGCTGGCAACATGTTTTATAACACGTTATCAGCACGACAAGCTCTACGTCGACATCGTCGTTGAAGCCGTCGCCGACCTTCGACGCTAACGCTCATGCTGCCGACGTCCCTGCCACGACTACTTCGACGACGTCGACATCCCGACGTTGTTAGCGGAACGGGTCTACTACCTGTACCTGCACCTAATCTGCACTACAACGACATGCATCGTCGCTGTCAAGTAGGCAGATCTACGACAATGCCAAACGCCCTACGCGGTATGTATCTACTAACCACTGCCCCACGCAGTACGTGAGGTAGATCAAATTGGCATCCTTCACAAGGTTGAAAGAATCGCATCCTGCAGATTGTGTTTGTCCCGATTATTAAGCCGGGCTATTATTTGATCTAATTAATTATATATGTAGTAGATAGATGTCGGTGTTTTCGGACCACCGGCGAGTAAATTTGTAT